AGAGCTGAATCAGTGTTCACCAGTGCAGCAAAATGATGAATCATCAAATTATTTTTATTTATTTATTGTAGAAGAAAGAAACTATCCATATATTCAAAACATTCATCAATTCATACATCCATATATATGCATTTCAAAACAATGTTTCAGAACAGATACTGATAAAAAGGTTCTACAAAGTAGCATTTCAAAACACAAGATAACTATCATCCCCTGCCTCCAATTAGTTCAAACTTGCTATTTCTCAATCTTCAAAACATTTCCTACCAAATTGTCACTAAGCAATCAGTGTTCAAAAAACCAAAACATTTATGACACTGATTAATCTAAGCAACTGCATCCAAAAACCAAAATAACACAAGACTGCTGGCTTGAAGAGGTTTGGCTCGAAGACGGCTGGCTTGATGAAGAAGAAGAAGGCTGGTTTGCATTTATCCTAGCAGTAATGCTAGATGGATCCTGCAATTGTATATAATTTGACAAAGGTTAAGAATACCATTCAAGACAGTGCAACAGCATGTAATAACCCAAGAAACAAAAAGTTTCAGTTTTAGAACTCATAACAGTTCACTTTCGACAATAATTGTGCATTTAGTGTCAATATCAGCAACGGGTTACATTCTATTCTAATTTCAAGTCTAGACCCACTAGGAACATAATAAACATTTTCTATGAAGAGCATTGGGACTTGGAAGTGCCCTACCACCACAGTGAATCTAGCATCATGACAAATGAACTCGTGAAAAACTAAAAAGTTTGAGCATCAACATGATTAAACTTGAATCCTATTCCTTTCTTTTTATGGATGTACAACTAACATATAAAACAAAGGTTTAGCAGGACATGTTTGGCACTTTAATGGCTGTATATTCATATCTAATGAGACAATACAATAATAGAACAATTTGGAGACAAAATGCAGATGGTACATTTCTTCATTAATCCACATTTCAGAACGAAGAATGATCAATAGAACATGGAAAAATGTAAAACTCATAGATCTACAATAACCTAGTATTGGGACCTTCCTCACCATGTATGAGGTGAAGAAACTGTTTCCTCAAAAATCCTCTAGTGACCTCGCACATGTGAAATCTGAATGCGGGCGTGCCACTTACTTTGCTGAAAGTAAGAAAGGATGACTTTCCCAACGACCCTCTCCTTCCTTACGGTCGACCTCTTTACAAATGGCAGGAAGAACGTTGGATTAAAATGAAATTTGCGCCTTCAGACGATTTGCAAGAGGGAGGGATACCTTCCTACAGAATGGGTTACGAAATCTGACTTGGACAACTCCAAGAACTTAAACACTACCGTGACTTAAAATTAACAAATCCTAATTATTCTAAATTACCTGCAATTTAAAGTAAATTTGCAAGAAAAAGCTGTACCTAAATTAAACTAAACATGTTCATTGTTGAATTAAAATGCAATGTACTGACAGATTTGGAAATTAACATGCTGCAGAATTAAAGATTTCATCCTAATTAACATAAAAAAGTAACGTAAACAGTAATTAAATTACCATGCTTGAGGTTGAAAAGAAGTATGAACACCACATAAATAATCATTGAATAAAATGCTACTTATCATAAACATTAAATTAATTACAAATGAAAAGAAAACAATACCTTACATAAACTTGAAGGATTGAAGTTCATTGCATGAAAGGAAATTGTTTAACTGAATATAGGAATTAATTTGTCTACTGGAATGATGAAAAGCAACCTAATTCTAATGGAATCTATGCTGAAATCCGAAATCTGTGCTGAAATCCGAAATCTGGAAGCATGTGCAGAGAAAATCAAAGTATGAAAATTTGCAGATGTTTGAGTAGGGCTGGCCGTGTGTTCTTCTCCCCAAAATTTCCTTTTTGTTCTTCTTGTGCCGGCAGTTACCTCCACCTTCTGCAGTTACTTAATCATGGGTGATTTTTTGGAGTAGTGGGACACCTCACCTTTTGACCTAGTCTAATCCCCTTGCAAATTTCGCCACCTGGACTCTTATCAGATAAAACCCCCTTTTTAACTGCAATCTTCTCCTATTTTCCAGCTGCCTTTATCTCTTTCTATTTTAAGAAGATAATTATTCCATAAAATAGTATCTTTACCTCTCTTATCTTGCCAACTCATGTGCTGATCTATCATGAGACCCAAAATCCGAATCTAACATGGCTTAAACTCCTCCAGCCAATAAAAATTTTACACGTGGCATTAGTTTGCATGGCCAATAGGCCGCAAACAATATGTTCAAACATGACAAT